GGGGTTGAAGTTGCAGTATTAAAAGTGAAGAAAATTGTCTTTGGCATCACAAGTCGCCTCTCCCCTCCCCCTCGCTTTCCCCCCAGGAGATAAACTCGGGTTCGCCTATGATAGCAATGGAAAGATTTCGAATTGTGGTGGAGTTGAGCGGTGAAAGAAAATTAGGAAGCAGTGAAGAAAAGAGGTCAACTATTTTAAAGCTCCGCCGTTCATGGTATTGCTTCGCCAGATTGCTTGCTAACTTTTGAATCAGCAGTGAGTTCCTGAATTTCAAATTTATAACATTTTAGTGAAGAAGGCGACACTTCGACCACAATCACATCACAGTGCAGTTCTGGAGACGCCTAGTTCTGGAACATTGCAGGAAGAATTGCCGCACGGAAATGCTAGATACAGGTTCCAGGCATCAAATTTTGATGAGCTCTCGATCGAGCCAGGCGATGTGATCGTCTTCGAAAAAAAGGTCGATGAAGTTTTACAGCTTCTTGATGATATTATGGAATGGTGCGATTTGAGTGCATCTGATCAGCAAAACCAGTTTCCTCCTTGATTCCTTTATTTGATGAAATAGATTTTCATCACTTTTCCAGGCAGTTTTTGCGAAAATACCCTTATCACGGATTGCTGCTGTCAGTAACACAGACGGATCTGGGGGGAGGTAGAGGAATGAAGGATCCTTTTCCCCTACCTCATCTTTCCCAGCGGCACAAACACCAGTGCTGCAGAAGCCCCGGTCTGAAGCTAAAACTAAAGTAAACAGAGCTTAAAGTAGCAGCTCTATACCTAGTTTTTGCATAGTTCCATGGCAAGGGGGCATTCTCCTCCCATTCCGCCGCCTCCCTCTGCTCAGGAATCCGTCCTGGATCCGCCCATGGTCAGCAAGGATCCATCTGCTTTTATTGCACATTGTCCATTCTTTTCTCGTGAACCACGGAAAGAGAAGTTGATGACAAGGGGACGCAAAGTTGAAAATTGTAGTAATTTTCAAATTTTTCTAGGTGGACGATCAATGGGTTTATGCACTCAACAGAAGCACTAATCGGAAAGGAATTGTCCCGTTAGTCTATATTGATGTAAAAATCCCTCTTCCATCAAGTGATCCTGCTTTGCCTTGTAAAGTGTGAGTCAAACTCTTTCTCAGTTCATAATTTCTAAAAATTTACAATACCACGTAAAGATATGGCGTTTTTTGGAAAGGTGTGCGAGGAAATCATTTTTTGCTTCTAACTGTGCAAAAAAGCTTACCGTGGGGGGATCCTCATCGGAAAACCGATTTGACGACCATACGTCTTTGCAAGTAATTTCTGAGCACAGAATGGGTGATTTCAAAGAGGGGAAAACAGTGATGCTTGGGAATGTGTATGCAGTCGCGATAGATACAGAAAAGACCCTGGATTTGTACGTAAAAATGATGTTCATGGGCGGAAATCAGTACTTCATTCGGTGAAAAAGTTTTGCTTTTTAGATGATTGGCTGGGGAGGAGACAAAGTAGGCATGGCCTTCTGCTTTTGTGTTTGGTGGGCTGTGAACAAATTCCTGCGTTTTTCCTAAGCACAAAATACTGAGCATGATGATGATGGTGACTTTTGATTGAAACCATTGTCCCGGAATTTGAATTCTTAATTATATCATCATTTATCTCTTTGACGTTATTCATCAAGCTAATCAGCTTAGATAACCAGATGCGATGGCCTTCCATTTTGCAAAATCATTGGCGGATCTAGGGAGACGGGGGGGGAGGGGCGAGGTGGGGAGAA